ATTGAAATATTTTTCCCTGTGACAAGAAACGCTTTTTAGTGTTAATACTTACACTGCTTTATGACGTCATCAGAGGATGTGACGACGTTACCACGACGACAACGTTTGCTGGATCAGATGAAAAAGTAGTATCTGTAATAATGTAAGTGAAAAGTTGTTACATTGTGTTTTCAGACGTCAAAAAGTTATATAATTAATGTATGGCAGGAGCGAGTGGGTGATACTAGGATAAAAACGGAAAAGGTTGCTGGAACCAATAATTCATTTGGAGGATATTATGACGAAACTGCTATTCTAAATGAGTCTAAAAAGAATGATAAATCATACAAAGGTGAAATGAGTAATTTTCCTCGTTCAGTTAGAGCATTTATAAAAAACAATGTCAATAATATGCCAAGAATGTTCAAGAAAAAAAAGAGAGAGCCGATATTTCATACAGAAATTGCAGGGGAAATTGTGGTAGTCAACATTTTACCGGCTGATGAATTCATTAATGTTAATAAATGTGTAAATCAAACACCGGAACATTATGATAACACGTTTTTGTTCTATAAACATATAACAGAATCGAGAACAAATCTCTTCAAATGTTTGTATATCCTTGGAGACGAGTTACTAGTCGGGCGTGTGGAGGGAAACAAACAAGACTGGGAACAATTTTTATACAAATCAGAAATTGAAGCACATAAATGGCACGAAAAATGCAAACGAAGCAACAAGTATTTTCAGGCAACAGGGAGAATTCTTGGCCAGGATAGCCGTAGATTTTCACGTTACCTGAAAACCGCATTCCGGTTTATTTTGCAAGCAATCTCAAAAGTATGTCCGTTTTGCTATTTTGGAGAATTTTGGAGTAACGTTAGATCCCTATGCCTACATCGGTGTATGTTTAAAAATTATACGCTTATAGACTGACGCATACGATTGTTTCCGTTACTTTATAAAAATAAAAATTGTAATCTGTCAATTTTGAATTGTTATTGATCAGTTTCTCTCTCTCAAATATACTGAAGGCGATTATCAAAATCATCCAATTCCCGATGGAAATAATTATTTAAGTTTCCATTTTTTTAAACAATGGCGGGAAATAACCATAGTGTTTCTCATGTTTGTACCATTATAAACCTCTTCTCCAAAAATAACTGCCAACTTCTCCACATGAATCAGAGGTGGACAACCGATCGTTTCATACACAATGTATTTAATATCAAAGCGTTTCGATGTACGTGACTTCGCCCGAGGATGAAGCTAAATTACTCGTTTTATTTAATTTTCAATACGTTCACTGTAAGTGTTTTCCACTGCAGTGAAACATATTTTCCGTATTTTCTGTGGTGTCTTCACGGACTACTTTCTTCTATAATCAGCCAATACACAAAATTAAAGTCCTCCGAATCGCCAGGTCAAATACTAGTATATAATAAACAGAAAATTCAATTTTATTTTTTTTCTATAAATACACGATTTATTTAAATGGAAATCTTCGGTTGTTGTGTATGTTTGTAACACATGTAATCCCTTTGTGGCGGTTTTTACCTCCCAGTTTGGTTATTTCGATACAAATATGTACATGCCATGTTTGTTATTATGTAACATTTGTCATGTTTGTTATTGTGTAACATTTGTCATTTATGGCATTTAATAAATGCCCTATTTCATTCAACCTAAGTGTTGTGTTTTATCTCATACCAAACAAGTTCGTCTTGCCAGTTATATTTGCTTGACCTGGACAATACATAAAATAGATTTTATGCCCACATAAAATAATTTATGTCATTGTTCTGTCCCTATACTCATTACTGTACAGAATATTACGGGGTCAGGTTTTTAGCCGTTACGGGTCAGGTTTTAGCCAAGTACGTCTTAGCCAATCGATATCAAGACTTAAATCATGTGATGTTAATTAACCAATGATTACATTAGATCTATCACAAAGAAATAATTTTGGCGAGGAATGATTTCTCGCCTTTCTGTTTACTAAAATCCACCTCCTCCAACTCCATCCTCCTCTTTCAATTTTTGATGTTGATATAAATACCATTTCATTTATTCTTAATGAATCAGTTGTTTCACTTATTGTTTATCTCAATTATTTGTGCAACTATTCATGACATACACTATATATATATATAATATTATATGTATATTGTTCATGCAAAGATTTATAAAACTAGTCGATGTTATATTATCTCTTTCAAATATTTTTCTATTTGTTGTCATAAATACTTATGATCTAGTCATATGTTATACACTTTTTAATGTATAGAATGTTTAAACTATTTTCCCAAGGATGGAGCCCTACATCAAGTGGTACTAAGACACAAGATAAAAGGGCACAGGTTTCCAAAACTATGTTTTTTCCTGGGCGAGTCGACCACGATTTGGAAAATATTTATTTTTTCTGGTCAATTGTTTTTGATCAGCAATCCATTTTATTATATTTATGTAGATGGTTTTTGGTTCAACTTTTCATCTTACATAACTTTTGTTAAGATTGTAATCTATTTGAATTACATTACAATGTTATCATAATCTGGCGGTTTTTACCTCCCAGTTTGGTTATTTCGATACAAATATGTACATGCCATGTTTGTTATTATGTAACATTTGTCATGTTTGTTATTGTGTAACATTTGTCATTTATGGCATTAGACAAGTACAGAATCTATTTCTGGTTTATAAAAGGTGTAATTATTAGCTCAGCAATCTGAATACCATTACTTCTTATGTTATTTCAACTGTCTTGGGCAATAAATATGAATTTCCTTGAAGCTGTGTAAAACATGTATGCCAACATCAGTTTATTCATTATCTGACTCAACCTTGAAAACTATGAAACATGTAATGAAAGGCTGCTAATGTACTGATGAAAGCATTGTCTTAGGTCCCAGGTCCGCTTGCACTATTAATTCAACGATAATGATTGCTCCCTCGACTAGTCTTGGTTTTTGCAGAATTTACTGGACATTCTTGGTATTTGGCTTTTTCCTTGTTGTGGACCTGAATAACAGGTGTAAGGAGAATTTGTGGCCGTTTCATCTGAAAAATATGAATTATTTTGTCATTAAGGTAGACTAAATGTATGAAATGTAATTGATTATTAAATTAATTCTGATAGGATAATTATGAGTGAACTATAAACTAAATCACACTCGCACTGACTGTAAACTAAACCATGTGTGAATAAATAAGTGTGAACTGTAAATTAAATCACGCAGACATGGGCTTTAAAACTAAACCATGTACAATAGGATATGTGTGAACTGTAAACTAAAGCACACTCACATGGACTGTAAACTAAACCATGTGTAAATAGGCGTGAACTGTAAACTAAATCACGCAGACATGGACTTTAAACTAAGCCATGTATAATATGATAAGTGTGAACTGTAAACTAAATCACACTCACATGGACTGTAAACTAACCATGTGTAGAAATTAGGCGTGAACTGTAAACTAAATCACGCAGACATTGTCTATAAACTTAAGCAATGTATAATTGGATATACTCAATCACACTCACCAGGAGTGTAAACTAAACCATGTGTAGAAAATATGCGTGTAAACTAAACCATGTGTATCATCGGTAAACTAAATCACTAAGACATGGTCTATTAACCGGAGCCATGTATCATGGGATGTGTGCGAATTGTAAACCAAAATCACACTTACATGTACATGTATTATAAAACTATGTCGTGAACTGTAAACTTTATCAAGCAGACATGGATTATAAACCAACAGTTCATTTATCATACGATGCGTATTAATTATAAACAAAATCACACTCACATGGATCGTCAACTATATATTGTGTTGAAAATGTGTACTAAATGATTAACTAAGTCCCAGCAGACATAAAACTATATATTAAGCCATGTATACTAGAATATGTATAAATGCAACTAACACGGACTGTAAATTAAACCTTGTGTTGTATCGTGTTTTAAACTGTTGTTAAAACCAGTCATAGAATTTAACACTGGTCCTAGGCCAGTGAAAATAGCTTCAGGGTCATAAAATTAAATTTAAAGAAAATTTGATTAAGTGTATAGTAGAATAATTCAAAATTAGAATTCAGAAACAGTAATTTTGAATTCTTAAATTCAATGACTGAAAAAAAAACAAAACAGTGAAACATGAATGTATGGAAATTATAAACTAAATCACACTTACTGTATTTAGTTGGAGTCAACAAAAAAATGTAAATTAAAAAAAGAAATAGGCTAAATCGCTCCCAATCTGGACTGTTACTTAACATGTTGCTAAATAATACTGCTATGATGATGTGTGTACAAATGTATAGTAGACTAGCAGAAAATCAACATGTACTATTATCTACTCTAATTAGAAGTTTTGTGTGAACTGTAAATGAATTGGAAATAAGTGATAACTAACATGACTAATATAGAATTTCAATTATGTGTCCAGGAAAAATTATGTCTGATTAATACTGCATTCTTGTACATTATCATTAGGAGAATAATGATGACCAACAACAAACCCGGCAATGAATAACCTTATATATTATAAATATAAAGAAATTTACTCACTGATAAATTCATTAAGTAGATCAACTTCGAGTCATAATCAAAGCTTATTATATTAATTTGTTAAGACAAAGCAACAACCTAGACTTCATCTGTTCATAGTTTAACAGGGCAGGCAGACAATGCAGTAAAATACTGACTTTAGTACAATATAACTTAAAGACATAGTACACAAAATACTTATCTTTTGAAATTGTCTGACAAATGAAATGCTTCGGGGCGGCGACCAAGCTGCTGTTCTTATCTCATTGAGGAGACGTAGCTGATCAGAGTAAACAGGTGGCATCCATCTGGTGTAAACAGGTAAATGTTGTTTAGACATGTCAACCATGAACCATTTATTCGCCATAAGTATGATCGTTTATGTTTGTTTTGGCATCTGTACAAAACTTGAACTGTTGAACAATGGTAACTTTCAGGACTCGTAAATAGTATGGTATCTACGAAATCTGTAATATGACGAGCAACGTTTTGTGGATAAATTCTGATTTGTAAATGTCATTAGTTCCAACAGTGTCCAAAGGCCGGCACAACTGTTTCCCGACTGATGATGTCTCAAACTTTCAAAGCTCCCAAAAAAGTTGCATTTCTACAAAAAAATATGTCTGTGAAAATTAAATCCATATCGTAGATTACAATCGTTCTGTCTAAATTCCCGAGTCTCAAATGAGGTGAAAATTTAATAACGAATGTAGAAATGTTCATTTGATAATAAATTGTATCCTGTTACGATATCCTGCCCGTGTTGCCGTGAAATGAATTGCCATTTTCGTCACGAAATTGAATATGAAACGGGGGACACCGTCCCTAAAATTCGCTCCCAGCAGATTAATAAGATAACTGTTCATAGTAATACGTAATTAGTTCACTTTAAGTAAAGCTTATGACTTCAAAAATAGATAAATTTTAGTAAACAGAAAGGCGAGAATCATTCCTCGCCAAAAATTATTTCTTTGTGATAGATCTAATGTAATCATTGGTTAATTAACATCACATGATTTAAGTCTTGATATCGATTGGCTAAGACGTACTTGGCTAAAACCTGACCCGTAACGGCTAAAAACCTGACCCGTAATATTCTGTACAGTAATGAGTATAGGGACAGAACAATGACATAAATTATTTTATGTGGGCATAAAATCTATTAAACCCCATTATTTGTTCGTCGCACTTCAAATGTAAGGCGGTCTTAGCCAAATATCGAGTTGGTGGTCGACAACTGTTAATTTTCTACTGTCTATTATAGTTTCACATGAGTCAATATCTATTGTAGCTAGACTGTAGCTCGTGTTTGTGTTTCCTTTGAGTCCCAATATTGACTTAATGCAGAATCTATGCGAGCGCTTTAGTTTAGTAATTCACAGCCATACATAGCCTTGGGGATAACTACCGATGCATATATAGTTCTGTAGGTTAGTGTGTATAAAATAAAACCAAATATTTTGAAATTTTTTGTGAATTAAAATTTGATAGAGCAGGACTTCGTTTATTTTATTATTGGCTGAGTAGTGAATATCACTGAGTTAAATTGCGCAAGGGTATTTGAATTCTTTCATGTGGACAAACTATCCAGACAGCAAAAGCTACACAGATCCCTGCTCGTATGGAACAATGCTATGAACAATGCAGTGTTGTAGTGACCATACATCTAATCTAACTATGCTAACCTTGCTAACCAGGGGGCATGTATAACACTAATACTATTAACTTTTTTCACAAGCATGCACATGAAAATGTATGAAAATGTGCGCATGCATTTAAAATCAATGATAAAACCACACTGTATTACCGGCGCTATAGTGATGACAGATTGTTGCAATCATGACACTGTATTACCGGCGCTATAGTGATGACAGATTGCTGCAATCATGACACTGTATTACCGGCGCTATAGTGATGACAGATTGCTGCAATCATGACACTTTATTACCGGCGCTATAGTGATGACAGATTGCTGCAATCATGACACTGTATTACCGGCGCTATAGTGATGACAGATTGTTGCAATCATGACACTGTATTACCGGCGCTATAGTGATGACAGATTGCTGCAATCATGACACTGTATTACCGGCGCTATAGTGATGACAGATTGCTGCAATCATGACACTGTATTACCGGCGCTATAGTGATGACAGATTGCTGCAATCATGACACTGTATTACCGGCGCTATAGTGATGACAGATTGCTGCAATCATGACACTGTATTACCGGCGCTATAGTGATGACAGATTGCTGCAATCATGACACTGTATTACCGGCGCTATAGTGATGACAGATTGCTGCAATCATGACAGACATCTAAAATTTTGCTGATTTATAAAGGTAGGTTATAAACTGGACATACTATATTGTAATATCGGACTCGTGTCCCCATTTGACAGAAAATCAAGATTTTTTTTTATTAATTTCTTTATTCGTATCGTTCCTTTATACTATCATTTGTAATATTTTCTCAAGACAGAAAATATGTTCATGCGTGACTGTGAGTTACGAAAATGGATGCTTAAAAAAGTCCATTTCAAAAATTCAGCAGGTTAAGAACTAGGATAGGTAGGTAAGAAATCGAATGCGTTATTCAAGACAAAGGTTGAAATATAACTCCCACATTTAATGTATATAAAACGTTTTAAAACGTCCACGTTTTGCAGAAATAAAATAATTCAATAATACAAAAAAATAAGTAGTAGATTCTGTAATCTCAAGATTTTCCTAGAAATTGTGAAATTGTATATGAGCTTTTTGAAATTTCATAGAGAACTTATAATGACGAAAACTGATCGGCCGCTTGGTTTGCGTTAGTAAAGTTGTATAATTCAAGACTTATTTGTAAGCAAGAAGTATCGTCAAGATCTGTAAAAATACTCCGCCAAAGTAAAACTTGATAATTTGCATATGTTATTTCCTAGTTTTCGATACATATCGAAATGTTAGCAATGCTTGCATAACAACGACATAATATTTTTTGTAGTTTAGAAAATAAAAAGAAACCTTTTGTAAACATAGACATTAGGAATTATCTATTTTGGTAGCCCTTGTAATTGTTTTTACGTTTGACTTTATAAATTTTCTGATAATTATGTTGATTTTCTGTCTCTGCCATCTTCGACAGTCTCGAAAATACATGTCTGACAGCAACGGTAGCATTTTCTCTTAGACCGAGTGTAACATTATCAAGAAAAGTAGTACTAGGGTAAAGTTTGTAAACGTGACCCTAAATGATGATTGTTTATGTGTATAACACACAATCACTCTTGGGATATTTTGAACAAATAACTACAACCATTTTTACGAACTTTTCCGAAGATGCCATTTTTAACCCGCTCAAAACAATACTAATTTGAAATAGAAAACGAGTCCAAAGTTATCTGATAGTATCCCCAGTCAATGAACATTAAGTTACTAGCAATGAAAACTGTTATTATTTGCGTAATGTCAATATACCAACCAGGTAAGTAATCGGTAAACCTTAAATTTCTGTCATCGTAACATCAATTTGCCATCACTGGCTCCTGTAATACGGCGTGATTACATTACTTTAGTGTGCTATTACATTACTTTAGTGTGCTAATATGTGATTCGAAATGCGTGAAAGCAATTCTTAATCTAATTAATGCTTTGCCGTCAAAGGAATGTTAGAAGGCTCTATCATATCAAAATTTCAAATTAACAATCTGTTCCATAATTTGTATTTCATTTTGATCTTAATTAATTAATTAATTAATTAATTAATTAATTAATTAATCTATTTATTTATTTATTTATTTATTAAGCGCTTAAAATTCCTTGACTCTCTCACACAAAGCTACAAGGATATACAGTAACGAAAGAAAAGATAGCCTTGTCTTGCCACACCGGCACACGAACGATCGTTGTAAATTGATTAGTCATTTGCGTCATATCACGATCACAATCGTTTTCAAGTTTTAAAGTCATAATTTGAATTGTTTCATCTGTGAATTCTAGCAAAGCAAAAATGTTTTGCAATATAAGGGCATGTACAATTAAATAACTAAAAACGTATCCTAACATAATATAAGATGTAACTCCAGTGTCATCACCAGTAGGCTATATGGGGAAATAGACTTGCACTTAGTTTACAATTTTGCATTTAAATTAGGCTATTGAAGGAAAATGTGTTATAAATAAGATTATTTAGGGGCTAGTCGTTGTTTCCTTGACACTCATTTCTTTGTACTATACTGAAGTCTGATTGATTCCAAGGGTGTTTATAAGCTTAGAATTTAAGCTTCCTACAGAATCGAACTAAAATAATTTATGTTTAAACCATATAAGATTATTCAGGTATTTCCAAAGATATAAAAGAAGAAAGACAGAGATCTCTTCTTTTTTTAATATTTATTAGCTGATTATTAAGAATAGGTAATTTATGATATAAGTGCCTTAAACCATGTTAAATCACGTGACATTTTAACTTATTAAAACTTTATATAAGAGCACAAATCTGGATTCATATGTTGCTTTAAACGTATGATTGTCATTGTTGATCTTCTCATTAGAGAAATAATTGGCATAATAGCAGACGTAAAATTATAACAACCGAGTGTCACTACATGATACATGTACAATGTCTTTATGCTATCTGTGTAGATAACATACCCAACAATGATAACATTTAAGCTCAAAGTCGTGTACAGTATTTAACATATCAATATATTCATCTGAAAATGGAAAAGTGGGTTGGACGTGTTGCTCTTGTAACCGGTGCCTCGGCTGGTTTCGGGGAATCGATTGCAAAACGTTTGGTGGAATATGGAATGAAAGTAGTTGGATGTGCCAGAAACATTGAAAAAATACAGGTAGGTAACGTACATTTAGATGTAGATGTATTTATCTATTCGGAGTGTCTGAGAAGAATACTAATTAATACGTAAAGATATGGGTCAACATTTTGTATTGATTTAATCTCGTATTTAGTATACGTTTTTCACTGGCTCGAATACAGTGTACGTATTTCAGAACAAAAACGACCCAAAAATGCGCAATTTTCCAAATCTCTGCCACTGTATATACAACCTAGTCGTAGCTACGCTGCGTTGACAACCACTATTTCCTGGCGGTCCCTCCTACAACCCCAGTCTCCCAAATAAGAAAGCCTGGTTCCACACTTAATATGTAAATGTTGGGTACTAGCCATGTATCATGTAATATTCCTTTGAAGTATGCAACGGTTGTATCTTGTGTCAACTTTATATGCACTTTTAACATTTTCATATTAGATCTAATCCGTCATTTTAGAGCTTATCAGAAAGTTTAAAAGACTCGAAGGGATCTTTGACTGCAATAAGATGTGACATATCTAAAGAGGACGAAATTCTGGCCATGTTTGAAAAGATCAAGAAAGATCTGGGCGGAGTAGATGTGTGTATTAATAATGCTGGTCTTTCATATAACGCGCCGTTATTGTCTGGAACAACAGAACAGTGGAGACATATGCTAGATGTAAGTTCTTTATCTTTTCCTTATATCTATATACATATAGTTCAAGAGGCGATCGCTAATTAAGATGAGCAGCATCAGGAATGAGATGCGCAAACAAAATAATAGCAGAGAATTCTACAAATTTTGACTGTAAACGTATGTATTCAGCTATTTGTTTCGCCAGCAGTGCCATTTATAAAAGTTTTGTTTTGCGTCAAAATTGTGTTCATAAAAAAAAATTGAAGTGACCAAGTTAACAAATGGTTAAGAATTAGGATTGTTAAAGGCTTGATGATCAAATCATCCCTGTTCAGATACACCACCATGATGTTTCAAATCACTGTATGTAATTTATTGACGCTTTGTGGTGCTTGCGAAAGCCTGAAATAATGCATGTACATGTACCTTGAATGGTTTTCAGGAAGTAAATGTTAAATTATTTTGATTTTGTCTGCTTTTGTTAATACCATATCAAAATAATGTTTTATATATTGATTTTAAGATAAACGTATTAGGGCTATGTATTTGTTCAAGAGAGGCGGTTAAATCCATGCGAGAACGTGGTGTTGACGACGGCCATATTGTTCTTATGAGCAGGTATGTGTGCTTTTGTTGTCAGCCGGTCAGAGACAAAATCATTACCAGTGAAAGAGCTTCAAGTAACCTTCCGACTCGGCAACTAGTTCTCAATTTAACCACAGATTTAATTGAATATTTAAAGCCTTGATTTTAACAGTTCATTAACACACGTTAAAACACAAATATCAGATGCAGTAATATTTAAAAGACAAGGAAACATAGCTTATCGAAATCAACAAATTTGAAACAACCGTAAAAATTGAAAAACATAAACAAACAAAAACGAAATAATGGCGTATAAATAAGTGATAAAGATACTAGTAATTGCTGAACTACTTTTGTTAAAACCTTGGAAGGCTTTTAGGTTTTCCCAAGTTTTTTTCCATCAGAATAAAGGTCAGATACAAATGTACGACCGTTTCCAGCATAGAGGCTAGCAAGTGTAAGATATGAAAATATATTCATTTGGTAAAGCCAACTAAATTGATCTAAAAATAAATTTTGATATAAATACAATTAAAGGCAAACAATAATGATTTTTCTTTATTTGATTTAAAATATAATTAAGTTTATTTTACATACATGTGGTATGTTTCTTGACAGATTGCATTTCATGACAATTCAAACAACAACTCCCTGCAAGAAATTTTAGCTCCTTAATTACCAGCAGTACCCTCAGTGAATCAGTTATGGTTGTCACCGATTTCCGTTTTTGCAAACTCCTCATACAGTTTTAAATCATAGTATATTTAAGAATAATTTAAAATATTGAGATAATCTATTCCAGTTCAATTAATTCTGCAGCGTTGAAAAGTAAAGTATACGTGACCATAACTTGATATTTAAAGACTAGTGAATAATGGAAGGTCTATGCAATGAATAATAACGTTGATGTTAGCAAGTGCGAGATACATGATCAGATTTTACATGTATTTATTTAGCAGATAATAAAGTGTTCTATAACAAAATATTATTACTCATTAGATAAATGGTCATTCTAAATCACTTAGAACTTTATCAGCGTTTCTTCAAACAGACTGGACTGCTCATTGATGTATTTAAATTTCCTCTTGACCATATATGTACGGGTTTGAGCATAACATAATTGTAAGCCTTATATTTTATGTATGCTTTATTGAAAACATATAGTAATATTTGGCATGAAACTTTAACTTAGGCTCTGATTATAACGTTACTTGTGATATTGAATCATGTTTTTATTAACTAACTATTGTTCTGTCTGATCATTTCAGTATGTCCGGTCACCGAGTGGTTCCGAATGCATCACACATACATTTCTATGCTGCCACTAAATTCGCCGTAAAAGCACTAACTGAGGGTCTTGTTATGCTGTATTTTTTTCATTTGATTCTTTCAAAATACTTTTCGTAAAATTATTATATTTTCTTGTTTATGTTATAAAAAGTTTTTAAATTATTGAAATTCAGAAATACGTAAATTATCAATTAGCTAGACCTCTGACATGTTTATTGCAATTTACGTGTCTGACACATTTATGTTTATTTACGTCACATGTATGACAACGTGATTATTATCATTAATTTTATCTACGACATTTATTTGAAGTTTTCTTATCTGATTATCTGTTTGACTTAAAGAAAGGAATTAACAGGCCGCTGACTTTTGACATCTGGCGTGTTAATCAGTCTTAATCGAACCATTTTTATTGGTCAAATCTTTAATTTCATATTTGATAAAATGTATTTTCATTGGTTAATATTCTTGTTTATGGGTCATTTTTTCATTGGTTAATTATTGAAACCTTTGTTACAATTATTTTTGCATTAATTAAAATGAGAAGAACTTTTTGAGATAGAAGAATTCAGGCAGTCAGACACTTAACATGTGACGGTTTAAGTCCGCAGTTTTCTGCGATGCATTTTAATGGACATGTACATATACATTTGTTATTTTGACCGGTCAGAACTGTTGATGTAAATATGAAAATAAAAGGAAACTATATTAAAAACAGAAAAACGGACTTACTGAGTTTGTACTTAATTACCATCGAAAGAATAAAAATGTGGACATTTATAACTATTACACTTTAACGGAATATTATACTACGGAGAAAATACGACAAACAATTATTTGTTAAAGAATATTATGGACATTGAAACCTACGGCACAGAAGTGTTTTATTTAAACGTTATAAAGAATATCATGAACACGGAAACATACCTCACCCCTGTTGTAACACCATAATAAACCCCGCACCACACATGGTGAAGAAGAGAGGCGAGTATCTCGGTACCTCGAATCAGCAGCCAAGCGAGTTACGATGTTATGCTCTATTTTTTCTTATTCCCCACGAAACAAATTGAAAGAAAGTGATAGACAAAATAATCGGCATTCAAGGACATTCAGGAACCAGGAACATTTGACTTTAAGGAAACATTGATGCCAAACAAGTAGACGAAACTTGACGAATTGATGATTAAAAAAAACAAGACGAAATATAGGAACTGAAAATTCAATAAACGAACGCGGAAATAGATACGTTGAAGTTGAAGAATATGCCGGATATTATCAGATGAAATTTATGGATAGATGAAGCGGTGAAAGAAAAACATATAAATTACAAAACATTTTGTTTTATCAATTCACATGTTTTTAATTCTCAGATACTTAATGTCAGTATTGTCTTAAAGGTATGTTTACCTAAAATTGGGCTTTATTTTATTGATAATGTGGACATATGATTTATTTTCTTATGAAAAATATGGTTGTAGTGTCATTTCTGAGTTTATGGCTTTAACTTTGCATCTGATTATTTTAGACATCATCACTATATATAAGATTTTGTATGTAAATTTCTGTTAGTGAATTGAGTGTGTGTGAATTCTTTTTTTAAGTCTTATCTATGGTTACTGAATGGGTGTATGTGTCGACGATACATGTATTTGGTTTGGTTGGTGTCTAAAGTAGTGGTTTGCTTGTGTTTTAGTGTCATTGGTCGGAATGATTTTCTTCATCATGATTTTATGTGCCACTTTGGTGTCTGGTAAAGAGTTTCATGTGTTGATAATTGCATTATGTTTGATGATGGGTGATGCTACTTAAAATTGTTGAGTAGAAAAAAAAATGAAAGTATTATGAAGTATCGTCTATATAAAGCATTCGTTGACGAATTGGTGTTGAATTATTGTATAATCATGAAAAGATGAAATATATATCTTTAAAGACCTAATCATTAGATGTTGATAAAACTTGTAATTTTTCTATAAATTAGCATGTACTTTGTTAATATAATTTGCTTTGTGATATTAATACTTATAGACTATAATGTCTGGTTTTTATACTGGTATTTTAAAATTTCAAAAAAGCTTATATTATGTCCTATTACATGCTGAGGTATAGCTATGTTAAGGTTGATTAATAAATAGAATTTTTGTGAGTTCATAAAAAGAAAGTTGCAAAATAAATGTAACAAATGCTGTATTGAATTAAAAGTTAAATTTTGGATTTCCACCAAATTTAATTCAGGATAATCTGTGCACATTAAACATCTTGTTTGTGGTATTCCACTTAGAAAGTAACTTTGATTAATAAAAATGGAACAATGTGTTGAGAATTAGCAATCTACATAAGCGCATAATACAATCACTTTTATTGTTTAAATTTAATATATATAAGGAACGTCTCACTTTATGGAATAAAGTTAAATAGAGGAGGAGGTGATGTTATGCTGTATTTTTTTCATTTGATTCTTTCAAAATACTTTTCGTAAAATTATTATATTTTCTTGTTTATGTTATGAAAAGTTTTTAAATTATTG